ACGGAGACTTTTTAGGGAGAGACCTCTGCTTTCAAGAATCTTGGAGCCTACAGCAGCAGGGTGTTCTTTTGTCTTTCCGAGTTTCACTTTGATGCCTTTTTCCATTCCCGCCACACGGGCGTGATGCGAAGGAGCCATCATGAGGGTACATTTGGGGTTCACATGGGAACGTAGCAAAGTGTGGGGAGGAAAAGCAAAAGGTTTGAGAGGGATTTCCCTGGTGGGTGATTAAATCATGTGGTTGTGAGAAGATTGCCTAAATCGGCATTAACGGATTTGTTAAGGAAATCCAGGAGAAGGCGGGAGACCCCATGTCAGTACCCCAGGCCCCAGAGTCAGGTAAAGAGGTCAGTGTACTGTTTGGTCAGACAGTTCCCTCTCTGACCATCAGGTGGTGCCATCAGCCCAGACTGTCACCCCAAGGGGGCAGGGCCTGCAGTAGGAGGAGCTCTCCACGTGGAAGCCACGTTTTCCACCCAGGCTCTAGAACTCACAGAAAACCTGGACTCCACAGCATGTATCAGCCTACAGATCACTGCCTGGTCCCCCAACAACGGTTCCCACCCTGCAGGGCCCCACCTGCTCACGCCCGAGCAAGAACACCTTCGAGCCTTCGAGCATCGCCACCATCAAGAGTCCACCTGATGCCTTCCATTCCTGTCACCCGTGTTCTTCCCAGCGTCAGCACTGGGCCCTCACATCCTAATTCCAAAGGGAATCTGACCTAAGAGCATCCTGGAGTGTTGTCTTCGAATGCCGTCACGATGAGAGAACAAGGCTTTGCGTGGTGCACACAGATTTGTCACAAAGGCCTTGACACAGGCCCCGGACGCCTTTGCCTGCCTTATCCCTCGGTTTAACACCAAACTGAGTAACCCCGTTCCAAACCAAGTCCCCCCACACACACACCATGTCCCCTCCATACATTTATCCCTGCTGGCCCTCCCTCCTGTGATGCCTCCTTTCTCACCCCTCCTGGTCAGCATCCTCTCACCTTTCCAAGTCCAGCCCAAATTCCCTCTTTCCCCAAGAACTACTCATGAAGTGCTTCGCTGAATTTAACTGGGGGATCAGACAGTAAAATGTTGGCCCCGTGCATCAACCCTGGAGGCCCTGGGATGTCAAGAGGCAGGCCTGCCTCTTCCTTCCTGAGGCTGGTTGGGTCTCGCACTGAGGACGGCCCATCCAGGCAGACTCCCTGCTGAGCCTCAGGCAACACCAGCTGGCCGGGCCTTGTTCCTCCCGAGTCCCAGTTCCCATCCAGGGCGGACACCAAAGCCGCAAGCTCGGTGTGTGGCACAGTGTCTGTTCTCAATTCGTGTTAGCTTTATAAGAATAGCAACGCTACTATTATTACTGTCCCCCCTCCACCCCCACTCTCATCAGCCGCAATCTGCCAAACCAGGCCTGAGTTACAGAGCTAAAAGAATGAGAGGAGATCACGGCCAGGTCACCATTCTGGGCTACCCGCCCCCTGCCCCCCCCCC